TCAGATGCCAAATTAAGACCAATCCCGCGACTCGGTCACTCTATTTGACAGTGATTCAGGCAGTTTGCTTGTTTTCCCTTTGAGTTCTTACTTGTGGCTTTTAATGTTTTCATTTATTATGATGGCCAATTGTGGTTTCTTCAGTTTTGGTATTAAAAACTTAATAAAAAGGCTACTATTAAATTATAACGAGATATCAATCTCAACTTTTTTAATCAGCTGCTAAGATTCTTTACCAGCTCCCCTTGTGCTAAATCCTTTAAGCCTCCTTTTCAGGTTCGTTCAGGAATTCACTGAAGAGGAAGTGAAAAGCGAAAAGTTTGTGGTCGCAGTTCATGCTGTTACACAGAGAAGAAGCAAACTGCGTTCCCGAAAATGGGCGACGGAATTTTACAAGCTATTGATGAATCGGTGAGATGTACGAGTAGAGAAAATGTGTATCGTTTAACTAAGACAAAAATAATCATACAAACAGCCACATTCAAATAATCGTTGTGCTTTCCACCCTTGTGCACGTTATACCATCGTTTCTTCTCTTTGTCTCACGCAAAAAATTCAAGTTGAGTCCGGTGGGAGAAGTAGCAAAGGTCTCACTTTGCGTCAATACAATCTCGTTTCCAGGTTTCCCTCTTGCCGAATCTAGTGAATCGCGCACTTTCCGACCACTGGTCGAATGAACGAGGACTCTAGGGACGAGATCGGTTCAAGGTTGTCTAAGATCACGGGTTATAACATGATTTAATAAATTTAATGAGCTAATAAGACCGTGAGTTAAGACAGAACATATCGTTTTTTGGTCATGTTGGCTTAATCACAGCGATTCCGTAAATATTTCTTTAACTTTGATTGTCTGCGGATTGAGAAAGTCTTGACTGTCTCTTCAAACATGTCAAAAAGTCTACATGTCGAGCTTTGTAGTCAGTGTTATCTTTGTGTTCAGCCTTGCTCCCTGTATTATTTTTTGCAGATATCAAAACAGACTCGTCCGCTGTGTTTTCTTCAAACCATCTTTTAAACTGAGGGCTTTGGTAATACTTTCAAAGCCATTTTTCTCGTAAGTATTCTATCTCACAAAGGTACTGACAGAAAAGAGTATTCACAACTTGATACGCTCAATGTGTTTCTTTCACGGCTTCCTGAATCCAAATTTAATATACAAACTTATACCTTCTAGTGACTATTTGTATTTCAGCCGATTGACCGACCGACCTAACGAAGAACGTCCGTCAGTCAGCTTGACCACTGGTAAACAGGTTGAAGAACGTCTGACCCGCCGACTATTTGATGGACCGACCAACCGAAACACGTTGACTAACAAACTGACTGACTAAATATCACCGTAAAAATCTTGCCGAAAACTTTCTGGTTTTGTATTTGACTGATTGACTGACCACCTGACACCTTTGAGTAACAAAAAAATTAACCGTATCCCCTCGCATAAAAGAATATCACAATGAAAAAATTTCGAAAGATGAGTGGTTTCGTTGTTTATGTCACAGAAACGACATGAGGGAAAAAATTGTTATCGTGAAGAGCAGGCGAAAATTTTCTAAGGCTCAAGGTAAGGTCGCATGTAAATTTGACGATACTGCCCTCATTAGTGTGTACTGAGGGCTTCTTTTCTGAGCACCGGTATTTCTACTGTGTGTAGTTTTGTACGCCGGTTACATAACTGGTAAAAATTAATCACATTCGATTTTCATTTTCAGGTTTACCAGGCAGTGATTCAACCGAACAGACATAATGAAGAAGTCTAATTTTTTTTCTTTACTCCAGTGTTGCCTTAAGTAAGAATTACTTGAAGAATTACTTGAAAAACATTATTATTGAATACTGCAACAAAGATGGATACTCTCTCTCTCTCTCTTTTGACATCGTTTAACACCAAATAAAGAAATACTTTGTTTAATTTTACCCTTCACCATTATTCGTTTAACGTTTTCCAACATGTCCAAGTTCTTCTTGTTTCCGTTTACTGACTTTACTATTAGCATATTTCCTACATCTTCTTTTTCTTTATGTTATTTTCATTTCTCTCTAATTTACAATAAATGGCACTTTGTTCTGTGGCCGCTGAAATGCAAATCTCCACGTCTTTCACAAAAAAATAAAATTGGGCAGATCGCATGGTTAGAGACTTGCTTTGTGAAGCTTAGATGTTAGAAGATTTGTTCCGGTGTTGGTATTATTAAGTTTCCAAGCACACTTTCCTTCCTTTTTATCCTCTGTTTCTGCCTGTTCAGCATTTTCCAAGGCCGTAACTTGCAGAAACAGCGTCCAGAATAATCTCAGAGTTTCGGAATTGTACGCTAGGCAACAGGATCAGTCACGATGGTGTAGTTTTATTACTCTTTGTAAGAGTGATCTTTGGCCAAATTAGAAGTTCTTGATGGACGCGTACAGAATAACATTGATAGCTAGAGAAATGTGGAACTGTTTCAGTCGAATGCACTGATGGGTGGATTCTTCTCCTTTGGCAGCTGCTCTTGTTATTCATTAGTAATAGTCGAATGTGACCACCATTTTTATTTAAAAAATGTTAAAACCAATCACGATTTAGACGTCCCTTTTTTTCCAGAAAGTCCTGGCACATGACGATAATGTTATGCTTAACTTTGTTCGAGTCATTTTAGCTCGGCATGATCCACGCTTAATTTCCAAGTACTACTTTACTGAAAACCTTTGGTAATAATTTTGCTACACGGCCGACAGAAACCCAATTGACAACTTTTTTTTGTCGATAATGATCAACGCATTACATCCATCTCGCAAATAAATGAGCTAAGTTCGAAGTTCGTCATCTTAATTCTAACGATAAGTTTTCAATGCGAAGGGGAAAATTTTATTCGTCAGGATTCTACATTTAGTTTCGCAAACTTTGTTAAAAATCCTTTCTCTAAACTGGCATCTCCAATCCTGGCTTCGTTGAAGCTGTTGACTCTCGATGAATGTGCTTTAGAATGTCTTACAAACAAGTAGTGCTTCTTCATAAACTTTGCGATAGTGTCTGGAGGTAATGACAAGTATGAGTGTGAGTTACTGAACGCTGATATGTTTAAACAACTAGATAAGTTTGCTGCAAGTAGAGATTTTCATCACTACAATAACAAGGTTAGTTCTAACTTTACTGTTGTGTCGTTGATTTTCAAGTAGTTCTTAATCGCATGCTGCCAAGGCTTAAATTCTCTGAAATACAAACCAAGATATCCAACTAATGTTACGGTGAATTTAGCACTGTTCTAACATACCAAATATCTTCCTATTTATTTCATTTTGAACCAGTCGCGATATTTAAAGAAACACAAAGGTGAGTTTTTGGAAAGCAATTTCTTGATGAAAACCAACCATCGACACTCTCTTGGATTTTTAATATTAATTCTGACACAGTGAAACAATAGAGATATCTGCAAATCATTTCTTTGTTTCGCCTCTAACAAGTACATATGTTTTGTACCAAGGACATGCGTCTTGCATCAATTTGATGATCAATTTTTTGGTTTCATTGATGAGAAGGCTCCAATTGAATTCGAGCCTTCTCATCAACAGCACGTATTGTTCAACTTCAAATTAAACCAAGAGAATACGAACTGATATTCTCTAGATAAAACCATTACCGAGTGTAGTCAGAAGCACACAAAAACAAACTCAATAAACTAAATAAGAAAAAACTAAATAAGAAAATAACTCAAATTAAAAAGATGGAATATGAAAAATAAAACTAAACTCCTTCATGATGAATTGAGCTATGCTGGGCCATCAAAATTTTTGAATGGCTAATTTTGTTTTAACAGAGATGCCAACAACTTTTTCAACAGGTCACTTTTTAATCTGCAGGGGTGAATCTGGCCAAATGAGATGCAAAAAAGAGGGAAAGATAAACATTCTGTCTGCAAACTATGGCAGGCTAGATTCTTGCACATTTCCTCACTGGATGACTACTGACACCAACTGCTGCACAGGGAATCCTCTTGCTCAAGTGCAGCAAATTTGCCAAAGAAATTTTACCTTTTAGCTGGAAGCAACCAATGTGTTTCTCGTAGATGGCCCATGCATGGGAACATATAAGTATCTATTTGTTGAATATCAATGTCAATGACACTTGACACTTGACACTCAGAAAATTTAAGGTAACTTAACCCTTAAAGTCTCAAAATCTGATTTTTAATTCGGATCAATATCAGTATCTGGGCAACTGCCCACCTACCCCTCCCCCTAACTTGTTATCAATAGACTGTTGTTGGGTTAGGGGAGGGGTAGGTGGGCAGTTGCCCAGATACTGATATTGATCCTTATTGATTGATATTAATTCTTCCCTCTAGCTGCTACACAATTCCTTGTAAATAAATCAGGAGAATTTGGTGTTAGATCAAGACTACTACTTTCTACCTGATAAGTTTGAGTATTCTCATTACATGTTGGCTGGATAATGTGTGGATGTTACAGGGAGAAGTTACATGTTCATCACTTATGGGAGTTAAAAGGGTTAAGAGACTTAATCTCAGACGATCCGAAGTCTGTACCTATGCTCCCAGCCTCCTCTCCCTGAGTAGAGAGGTATACTACTACTGCCATATTTAAAAATTTCACCTATGTGCTTGATGATACTGATTGCAATTGAGTACCACCTGCCAATAAGGCTACATGCATTGCAAGAAAAGAGCAGTACAAGACAGTGCTTTCCTTGCTAAAAGTGCAATAATGAAATAACCACAGAGAAATGAAGATGTACAGAAAATATTACTGGCAGTGGTAAAATGGCTGGCTAAACATTTCAGCTAGGGCTGTGGGGGGAAGTGCGGGGGAATTTATCTTGTATGATACAACAATAGACTGAGAAGCTACAGTATCAGGCTGTTCTGCCAACAAATGGACTGCAATAAATAATAGTAAAGACAGCAAGTGGAATTTCAATGGAGTTTAATTTGTCAATCACAAGTATATGATTACAGACCAACCTTGATAACACGAAATCCTGTTACCAATCGATCATAACCATCACAATTAAAAACAAAAAAAACAGTAACATTTATTTGAGAAGATATCTCTGGTAGAGACATTTTCTAAAGAGAAAAATTGTTCCATTTTGGAAATTCTCCAGGTTTGTAGGGTAATTAAGTGGCTGTTGCTATGGTTATTGTAATCAAATCTGTGATTGGAGGATTTACCTGAGTGGACTTGGTGTGATTGGCTGCTTTGGCTGTCTTATTACAATTTTCAATTACAGCCAACTGTCTCATTACAACTCTACAGAAGAATAAGTGAAAAATGAAGCAGCTAATGCACCAATCACATTTGAGGAAATTGTAATGGTTATGATTACCTGTAACAATTTAAATACCCTCCTATTCAGAGGTTTCAAAATATTTTGAAGATGGCATCAGACTATGCAAAAGTGGGTGACTGTGAAAAGTTCTTTAACCCTTTAGCTCCCAAGATCTCATTAGTAATTCTCCTTACTGTCTGCCATATATTTCTTGTGATGTTAGTTTCAAGAATTTGTCATTGGATCAACTAATAATCCCCTAATTAATATTTTTCTTTGTTCAGACATCACTTGTCTGCTTGATATTGTAAGGAGAAATTCTGTCCTGGTCACATAAGGGAGTTAAAAGGTTAAAGGCATTAAAAGTAATCATTTTAAACAGAGTAGCAGGCAACATTTTATCAAGTAGCCAGTAGAACTCTGGTGGAAGGTGGCTTGTTTTGAAACCCCTTCCTAGTTCTCTAAGGCAGAGCTATCAACAGTAATATCTTTGCACATATGAGCATAAGTAAATGAATATATGCATATTAAAGGTATTACATTTATTATTGTTATTATACAGTCAGGTAATAAACATTGTAAGTGGTTATAAACACAATCAAACACTGGATGACAGGTGACTAAAGCCTGAAAGAATACAGGCTCAGCGAAAAACATAAGTACCTCTGAAATTTACCTCTGGAAGACAAAGAAACAACAAAAACTACCTAAATTCTTTAAGTGTAGGTAATAACAAGTGCTATTCAGTGTAAATAAGCATGAGTACCATTTTCAAAGTCCTTATTTACACCAAATTACATGTCTTGAGAAATCATGTGATTACTAAGTAATATTTACACCAAAAAAGTATCACAGAAAGTGAGGACAGACAAACTGTTGAGAGTGTACACTTTATTTGTCATTTGTACTTGTGCTACAACTTTGCACTTGTGTTGCATGGTAAATGCACTCATTTTCAGCTAATCAGAAGCTGGCACTATCTTCATACATTGTTAGGGTGCAACATTACAATCATTGATCCTGTCCTCCCTTATGGCCTGACATGTGCAGTACAAAGTCAATTAATGCTTGATGTTCATATTGACAGTGTACCTTCTAACATCAGGAAACTTTTTACAAGAACTTCAAACATCCATACACATACTAATCACTCATCAATGTCACATCTCTTTAGTGATAAGTACTCAAGGCTTAAAACGGAAAGAAAGGCCTTTTTGACATATTGGTGTCAAAGTCTGGAATGATATGCCTAATGAATATAAAAATTTATCAAAGACATCCTTCAAAAAAGAAACAAAGAGCTCATCTCAATATCCTAGAAACTGGAGATTCTCACATGGAGCCTGATGAGATAATGCTAAAATTCAAACACACCAAAATTGAACCAAATTGAACCAGTTCTACAATGTGTTTTGTACACTTAGAAACTCTAGAATTTCCTGTCCTTTACAATTGAACATCTGTCATTTTCCCTTTTTTTTCTTTTTTGGTGTATATTTTGTCTTTTCAGTTATGTTATATTTCTTCATTTCCGTTTTATTTCCAGTTTAATAAATTAAGTTCATAAAGAAAAGAAAAAAAATTAGACCTGCCTTGGTTAGCATTTGCTATCTGTGAGTCGAAGGAATATCTTGTAAATATGTAAGAAAATGAAAATAAAAGTGTGTGCGTGTGACCACAGATAGGGCATCAACAACAACTCTAAAAACACTCAAACAAAAAGGATCCAACAGAAACACATGCAAGGAAATTAATTTAAGCAAACTCTTAATCAAAGCTGTGTGGAATAATTTACACCCTCATGTAACAAAATCAAAGTATCTCTTTCTAAATTAACTCAACCAACTTTAGAGGAACAAGCTATAGCCCTAAAAAATTATTTGATGATGTGACAGTATTGTAAAAGAATGTTCTTTCCATATCATTGGTGTATGCAAGAGGAACATGATGAGAAGTGAATTATTGCATCAGAGGGTCTATAATTTTCAAGACATGACAATTTCTGATCAGTGCATGTCCATCCAAATCTTTTTGAAGAGGCTGATTTCAATCAAGCAGCAAGCAGTCGTGTCAAAGAAACTTTTTGCGCTACAAAAGAACTTTAATTACTCAAAACTGATTTGAAAGCCATCATGGCTGTCATCCATTTGTTTTGGTGACCAAATAAGGCAGCATTATATGCATAGAGAACAGTACAGAGAACATGGATACTGATGTTAGCGTGTTAAGGGTTAACAAATAATTGATCACTCTTGTAAACCAGTTCATCAGAAAGTAAATTTCAAATGTGGGATATTGATCAAATGAAGCCTTTAAGTGCTACTGTGGTTCTTTCTTTATTCACTCCGAGCTTTCGCTGTTCTACAGCATCATCAGGGCTGACAATAAAATATTTGCGCTATGGTTTTAAACGTTGGAGGTGCCACTGTAAATTAGCATAGTGTAAAACTAGCCAGTAGGACGCATGAAAACTAATGACGTGATAAAATGTTCTAAAATATGTGTTAAAAACAGTTAATAAAATAGCTCATTCAAATAAATCATTAAAATAGAAGATCGTTAAGTTCAGTGCATTCCTCACGGGAGTTCAGTCCCGGCTTGTGCTTTCTGATGTAATACGCTTCGTACAATCGCAGATTGACGGGGTCATTTTCACGCGTGATTACTTTGACTTCAATGTTATGGCTGTTGTTGCGATGGTGTGTTGTGAGATGTTTTTTTACCGACGAGTTGTCGTTGGTCAAGTGTTCTTTTGTTCGATCATGTAGGAATCGTGTCGTGCTTCTGATGTAATTGTTTTGAAATGTTTAATTATTTAAAATTTAAATGATAATTACACACACTGCATCTTTGTTTTGTGGGTAATAAAAAAATATGTATCTCCATTTAGTAATAATTACTTGAAGGAACACCTTAAAAAATGTTCTGGACAAAGCCAGTTTTCAATTGAAGTAATTTTATATTTGACACTAGTTGCTGATTATAATATTTTCCAAATTATGATTTAAAAGTTACTTGTGTAAAAAAATAATAGCAAAAATGTAAATTTTCCTTGAGAGATCATGCTATTGGAATCACTAGTAAATTTGTTCTGTCGAGGTAATATTCAAGTTTAAATACTGAGCAAAACCTCTAAACAACAGCACTACAATTTAGCTATGACTCCTGTTTCACTCCTTGCTGAGTTGATGTTTCCAACAACTTTTAAAATCTCCTGGCAGAGGAGATCATCACTATTCACCATGTTTTCAATCATGCTAAAATGATCTACTCCTGGTAGCTCAAGCAAAGAACACTGAACATTATGACTTTTTAAGATTTCAACAAATTCTTTAGCCTGTCGATGAAACTCTGGGGAACCATGCTCTTCCACCACAACCAAAATAGGGCACACAAATGTTGGTGACATCTTCATCAGAATGTGTTGAGGACTGATTTGTGCAGCAGATTCTTCTGTCAGTTTTAATGCATCATTAACATAAGTATTTACAATAGGTACCAAATCATAAACTCCTGATAACAAGAATATACCATGAATGGCTTGTCGAACTGGAGGATCTTTGCTCCAGTCTGACACCATCATCATAGCACACAAATGTGCCCCAGCTGAATGGCCACACAGGAACAGTTTGGACTTTGGAAACCTGGTATTGATATATTTCACTGCTGACTTTATTTCACTCACCATCTGATTCAAGCTTGCTTCTGGTGCAAGGTTATAACCCACCACTGCCACAACACAACCAGCTTTAGTCCATGATTTACTAACAAAGCTGTAAATCTTCCTGCTCCCTACTTGCCAGTACCCACCGTGAACAAACAGTACTACTGGTGCAGAACTACCACCAATTTTTTTTACAGATACAGCTGTCTCATCAGTCTCTTGCAAAGGATAAAATATATCCATCTTAGCTTTCTTTTCACCATAACAGACACTCAGTTCGCAGTGAGAATTTTTGCAAGTAATTTCACTATAGCTAGTACAGATGTTCATGTGGGAATCTACTACTTCTCCTGGGTCCATTCGCTTATTCCACATGCTTGGAGAATAATACTGTGCCAGCCACTCATTCTTTTCCTTGTCCATGTTTGAAACATTCAATGAGAAGCACACTAGCCTGCAGATCAAAAAGTTTTTTGGAGAGTTCTCAAGGAAAATCTTACAACTCTTCACTGGTTCTAAAAGACATTCAGAAAATACCAAAGACATCCCAAAGACTTCTAACACAATCTCATCTCAAGAGAAAGCATGATCATTGACTTCTCTCTTCTTTGACTGGAGCAGGATTTTCTTATCAATGCATTTTTAGAAAGGTGTCAGTTGATGCAAGGCTGTAATTGTGGAATGTTTTTGTTCCAAATAAGAGCTGGTGAGTATGAGCTGTGAGCTGGCTAGAGATCATATTATTTAACTATATATATGTAATTTTTTTTTAGATAGCCAGCTACAGTAAAATACACAATAAAAAGTAAAGGCCTGTAAGAGTTTTTTTCTTTGTGTCTTTGGAAACCACAGTGACATTTCGTTTTAACGATTTTCTAGTGATCTTGATGTGGGAATACTACTGCAGAGCACACAGATGGGGAAATATAAGGATCGAAATCTGTTAATGTATTACAGCCATACTAAAGGCACGAAGTCATAGGGCCAGAAAGGCAATAATAGCATACTGGCAATTAGATGTTTCTCAATATCCTTGCTAATTTTAAGATCACTGCAAGCACGAGAACAATCCTTTTTGTAGTAAATAAACGGTAGAATACAAGGTTTAACAAGTTAAGTTAAACTTGTCAGTGTTTCATCTCACTCACTTACAAAACAGTTGTGATTTACTCACTGTCTGTCGAACCTTACTGCCTCCTTGTTTCCATGCAAACTATGTTCTGCTAGCAGGCCAGAGTGTTTGACCGAACTGAACTATTGCAATACCTCGTTATTAACCTAAATCACTTGAATTAAACCGAATATCACTCCTAAAGGCATTTTAATATCTAGGTAATGAATCGAGTACCTTGAACTTATCACAAAAATGTCCAAAAATCTTCAAATGCCTCAGCTTTCTAAAGAGAGGAACACAAGACGTGGAGAACTAAGGCGAGTCAAGGAGAAATGGGGGGAGGGGATGGTAAGGTAAATCTATGTTTCTGATATCAGTGGCTAAGGTCGTTCGCTTCTCTCAAAGTGAGGCAAAAGCTAACTTTGAAAACTTCGGAATGCAATCAGAAAAAAATTGGGATGAATTCTCTTTCCAGTCGATAAATGTTCTATGATGACGTGACGATGAGCATTAAGGGGTGGTTGAAAAGCATCATAGTCACGTGACGCATTCTCTATCTACAAACTTCTTAACTTTCACTTTCGGAGGCGACGAACACAGTAAGTAATTTCTGTTCACTTTGTTCGATATTATAGTACAGTCGAACCTCGATTATCCGGACTCATCGGGACCTCGGTAAATAGTCCGGATAATCGAGAGTCCGGATAATCGAAAATATGAATATTAATGAGATAGAAATGTGAAATAATTATCTGCTTATCTTTAATCAATAGAACGGCTAGCTTTCGCTTCGTAGGCATGTTTTTGATTTGAGTTTACGATCGATCGCTCGTGTGTTTACATAGCCCACGCGGAAGGAACTAATCAAACATGAAATTCCCTTGGCAACAAAACAATTGAGCTAACCATATATCAGCTGAACGCATCAGAATATTTCTTTGTCTTGTCGCACTTTCGAATTTTGAAAAGCGCACAGGATAATACGCTGTTTCAACAGTCTTTTGAAAGGATTATTGGGCTTTTTGCGACTTTGAGTTTTCAAGATCACAACTAATTAATATTCATAGAAAAATTGGGACCAGAGAAGAAAGTCCGGATAATCGAATAGTCCGGATAATCGAGGTTGGACTGTAGTTTTACAGCTCGTGCGTTAGTTCTAATTCATTTGAAATGACGTAAGCGTAATCTGTTAGAACAGTGAGCTATTTTCTTGATGAATCTCCAACATCGACGTTGTGGTCGCCTAAATAATTACGGTGGAAGGAAAACAGTAGCATCGAGCGAATCAAAAGACAAATTTCAGAGAATCTGATATATCTTAGTGATATGTACGTAAATGCTTCTAAACTGCCAGAAAATCTCGTACTAAAATAATCACCCACGTGAACTTTATTTCTCTGAATAAATCTGATGTCTCCAAGTGGGCTGCCATCGAGCAGACTTCAAGCCGGAAGTAGCTTGCTCGCGTTTGCAGGTAAAATTTTGCTTGAGAAGCATAGACATGCGGTCTGTACGTTGCTCCAGTTGTTCCTTGAAGTGCTCTATGCGTAAAAATCCACAGATAAAGACAAAAGAAGATTGATTTTCGCCTTGTTATCCAGTCTAGCTTTCGATACGCGAGTTTGTTTCCCGACCAGCGGCTGGCTGATAGAGGCTAGAAATAGATTTACGTCGGAGTTGGGCCTCGAGTTTCATGTTTATGTGTTTAAGACCTTGATTTGGCTGAAGAATTTCTCTCTCTTCGAATTCATGATAGGTGTTTTGTGTTGTAACTTGTAAATGAAACAACCTGCATTTTTTCGAAGGGAAAATTGTGGCTCAGCATCCCTTTTATCTGGATTTCAATCACAAGGCCAAGAAATTTGAGACAGTTCTTGTAAGTAACATTATTGTGGTGAAACTGTAAGTTTATCATGTTAACAGCTTCTTTTGATTTTAAACCAAATGTTAGAATTCATCGGCTGATTTTGATCCCCAATTCCTCGCTAATTACAAAAACTTTCTAAAACAAGAATAGATATGATATATAAGAGTAAGTCAAGCGAAACCAAATACATCAGGCTAATCAACCTGTTATGACAGACAGCTATTTTGGTGAGCTACCTGCCTTCAGAATCAACCGCATTCTTTAGTAAGAAACTATTAAATTGAGAGGCTGCAAACAGATCTAACACAGTTGAATTAAATCCTCAGATTAAAGCTGTCTCATTCATTTCGCTCGAGCAATCGGGAAAAGTTCGTAATGGAAAACTCAGGATAACTTTTGGCAAACTTCTCTGTGGCCTTGACTCTGGCTATACTTTTAACAGTTGGCACTTTCCTATGAAAAGTATTGAATATTGAATCAAGCGGCTGCAAACGGATCTAACAAAGTTAAATTAAATCCTTACGCTGTCTCATTCATTTCATTCGAACAATCGGCAAAAGGTCGAAAATGGACAACGTAGAAGAACTTATGGCAACCTTCTCGATGGTTATTGGGTTAGTGGTTGCTACCTTCTTCCTGAACACTGGTCGTGGCTTACAAGCCGTGATGTTAGGCGAAGAATGTTTGAACTTTTTAAAATCTGACGAGCTTGAATCGAAGACCCGTTTTCGACTTATCATGGAAATCTATACGCTAATGTTCGAGGCGGCTTGCATGGCTTCCAATCACACATCTGCAGAAAGATATGCCAAGGAACTTCTTGATGTGTGCCATGCCTCTGGTGACACAATTGAAGAAGGAAAAATGACTTTGAAAATCATCTTTATCATGGAAATCAACATGTTGATGTTCAAGGCGGCTTGCATGGCACAAAGATATGCCAAGGAACTTCTTGAAATGTACCATGCCTCAGGTGACACAATTGAAGAAGGAAAAATAACTTTAACACTGGGAAAGATATATCAGAGCCAAAATGAGTTTGAAAAGGCAAAACAATATTATCAGAAGGCAATTGATGTGACAGAATGTACGGCTGACAAACAAACGGGGGCAAAATGTTACATTGCAATGGGACATTTATCTTATTTGCGTAGTGAATATCACAAAGCTAAGAAGTATTTCGAGAACGCACTGGCAATCACAATACGACAAAGCTGAGAAATATTACAAGAAAGCACTTGAAATCAGGAAAAAAACTGGCGACAGAGAAGGAGAAGCAGCTGACTATGGAAACTTAGGAACATTGTTTCACTCACTGGGTGAATACGGAAAGGCTAAAGAATACACCATGCAATCAGAAAGGAAATTACAGAGAGGGAGAAACTGACTAGGAAACAGAACATTGTTTTCAGTCACTAAAGAATGGGGAATACGACAAACGGCTGAACAAAATATTACAAGAAAGCAATTGAAATCAGAAAAAAAACTGGCGACAGAGAGGGAGAAGCAGCTGACTACGGAAACTTAGGAACATTGTTTCACTCACTGGGTGAATACCAAAAGGCTAAAGAATACACCGAGAAAGCACTTGCAATCAGAAAGGAAATTGGCGACAGAGAGGGAGAAGCAGCTGACTACGGAAACTTAGGAACATTGTTTCAGTCACTGGGTGAATACGAAAAGGCTAAAGAATACACCGAGAAAGCACTTGCAATCAGAAAGGAAATTGGCGACAGAAAGGGAGAAGCAGCTGACTACGGAAACTTAGGAACATTGTTTCAGTCACTGGGTGAATACGAAAAGGCTAAAGAATACACCGAGAAAGCACTTGCAATCAGAAAGGAAATTGGCGACAGAAAGGGAGAAGCAGCTGACTACGGAAACTTAGGAACATTGTTTCAGTCACTGGGTGAATACGAAAAGGCTAAAGAATACACCGAGAAAGCACTTGCAATCAGAAAGGAAATTGGCGACAGAAAGGGAGAAGCAGCTGACTACGGAAACTTAGGAACATTGTTTCAGTCACTGGGTGAATACGAAAAGGCTAAAGAATACACCGAGAAAGCACTTGCAATCAGAAAGGAAATTGGCGACATCAGAAAGGAAATTGGCGACAGAAAGGGAGAAGCAGCTGACTACGGAAACTTAGGAACATTGTTTCAGTCACTGGGTGAATACGAAAAGGCTAAAGAATACACCGAGAAAGCACTTGCAATCAGAAAGGAAATTGGCGACAGAAAGGGAGAAGCAGCTGACTACGGAAACTTAGGAACATTGTTTCAGTCACTGGGTGAATACGAAAAGGCTAAAGAATACACCGAGAAAGCACTTGCAATCAGAAAGGAAATTGGCGACAGAAAGGGAGAAGCAGCTGACTACGGAAACTTAGGAACATTGTTTCATTCACTGGGTGAATACGAAAAGGCTAAAGAATACACCGAGAAAGCACTTGCAATCAGAAAGGAAATTGGCGACAGAAAGGGAGAAGCAGCTGACTACGGAAACTTAGGAACATTGTTTCATTCACTGGGTGAATACGAAAAGGCTAAAGAATACACCGAGAAAGCACTTGCAATCAGAAAGGAAATTGGCGACAGAAAGGGAGAAGCAGCTGACTACGGAAACTTAGGAACATTGTTTCAGTCACTGGGTGAATACGAAAAGGCTAAAGAATACACCGAGAAAGCACTTGCAATCAGAAAGGAAATTGGCGACAGAAAGGGAGAAGCAGCTGACTACGGAAACTTAGGAACATTGTTTCAGTCACTGGGTGAATACGAAAAGGCTAAAGAATACACCGAGAAAGCACTTGCAATCAGAAAGGAAATTGGCGACAGAAAGGGAGAAGCAGCTGACTACGGAAACTTAGGAACATTGTTTCACTCACTGGGTGAATACAGAAAGGCTAAAGAATACACCGAGAAAGCACTTGCAATCAGAAAGGAAATTGGCGACAGAAAGGGAGAAGCAGCTGACTACGGAAACTTAGGAACATTGTTTCATTCACTGGGTGAATACAAAAAGGCTAAAGAATACACGGAGAAAGCACTTGCAATCAGAAAGGAAATGGGTGAATACGAAAAGGCTGAAGAATACACCGAGAAACCACTTTGAGGGAGAAGCATGGTGCTGACTACGGAAACTTAGGAACATTGTTTCTGTTTCACTGGGTGAATACTGGAAACTAAAGAATACACCGAGAAATTGACTTGCAATCAGAAAGTTGGCTACGGAAACTTAGGAACATTGTTTCAATCACTGGCAAGAAAGCAGAAAGAAAGGAAAGCAACTGACTACGGAAACTTAGGAACATTGGTCACTGGGTGAATACGGAAAGGCTAAAGAATACACCGAGAAAGCACTTGCAATCAGAAAGGAAATTGGCGACAGAAAGGGAGAAGCAGCTGAAAACTACGGAAACTTAGGAACATTGGTTTTCAGGTGATCCACAATCGGCATTGTTTAGCATCCATGATATCATTAAAAGAGAAGCAAATTGTACTTTTGTTTACCTTTCGGTTGATGATGAAGATGTACGGATTTGGGTTCTCAAAACAAGCGGACAGATTCTTTTCCGGCGTAAAAAGGGAATGGATTCAGACAGTTTTGGAAATGCTGGGTCAGTCCCCAACCCGAAAGTGCTTTTTTCGGAGAGTTTCCGCTACTTTGCCATCCTACCCACGGAGAATTACGAAGATCGCTCTTTAAATGACGAACCTGTTCTAAAGTTATCTGGTGATGTTAGGCGATCGCCTCTATCCCACGATGAAACTGAGGATATGAAAACACGTCTGCGTTTGTTCTACAAGCTAATTATCGCTCCTGTGGCCGATTTATTGAAAGAACCTGAAATTATCATTGTCCCTGACAGCTGCATGTACCAAGTGCCATTTGCAGCCTTACTTGACGAAGGAGGAAGATATTTGTCGGACAAATTCAGGATCCGCATAGTTCCTTCTTTGACGGTCCTTAAGGTCATTCAGGATAGTCCTTCAAACTATCACTGTAACACTGGGGCACTGATAGTGGGTGAACCTGAAGTGAGAGAAGTGATTTACAGGGGAGAACAAATTGTCCTCGTTCCATTACCGAAAGCAAGAGAAGAAGCCGAGATGATTGGAAATATGCTTGGCGTCGTCCCATTGTTAGGAAGAAGTGCAACAAAGGAGGCGGTTCTTGAACAGATGAAGTCAGTTGCGTTGATACATTTTGCGGCTCACGGAAATCCCGATCGAGGAGAAATAGCACTTTCCCCCGTCAGTACTACTAACAGTACTCCACAAGAAGAAGAATACCTTTTGACGATGGCTGATGTATCAAAAGTTCAACTTCGAGCTAAACTGGTAGTTCTAAGCTGTTGTCACAGTGGGTGCGGAGAGATCAAAGTCGAAGGAGTAATTGGAATCGCTCGAGCCTTCTTAGGATCCGGTGCTCGGTCGGTGTTGGTGGCGCGGTGGGCCTTGGACGACGAATCAACGGAGCAGTTCATGAAATGTTTCTACGAACACTTGTTCCGTGGTGAGAGTGCCAGTGAATCTCTTCACGAGGTCAGAAAGTGGATGAGAGGTAACCCCAAGTACTCTGAAGTGAAAAAATGGGCTCCGTTCATGCTGATTGGAGATAATGTCACATTGAGGTAAGTTTTAAGGAAAAGGGGAAAGGTTTGTATTTAAAAAAACCGCAATAAAAATGGCACTCGGGATGGGAATCTACTGAGGCCTAAATCTACTTTTTATGACATGTCAGAAGGAACCAGGATTTACGTTTAAAATCAACAACTTTGTAGCAAGTCAGGGACACTCTCGGGTTTTGGTTGAGCCTGTTTATTGATATTATCTTAGAGTGTAAAGGAAGACATTGTAGCGCATTTTCTCAAAATCGAACGATTTAGAAAAGTAACTTAAAAGACTCACACGTCCCCCCTCATTTATTTCATGTTATGGAGTAAAGAAAGTATATAAGCTGGTTATAGTAAAGGAAGGATTCGTGTTGTATCTCATGTAGTTCCCTGATGTATTTTTGCTATTGTTGGAAAGACGAACGAGACAAATGGAAGAGTATCTTAAATGACGGCAGGCGATAAGTTACTGATAGACGTAGAGGGTCTTAATTCCAAATCGAGCTTCTGCGAGTAAATTTTCTCAATTCCGCGTCAAATTTCCTTGCTAAAGGCCTCGCAGTATCTGAAGTTCACAGCGACTAAACCTGTCATAACCGCAGAAATTCTTGGAAGAAATATATTGAATTGACCTAACAATTACTTTACCGACGAATCAATTCAAGATTTTTCAACTCCTTTGCTAATATTGTAAATCTTATCTTACAGGAAAGAAGACATAATCTGCAAAGTTCAAAACTGATCAGCAAACCCTGCACTCTGAGTGAAGCTGACTTCTTTGAAGACCATCATCTTTGCCTCTACCGTATGAAACAGAACATTTCGTGTGATATAACCGAATTTTTTTTCGTTGTTTTTTTTTTAGCAAAGCAGTTAATAGTATTTAGGATTTCTCTTTAGCAGTCAGGCATGTTTGTCACTAAAATGTTAGGAGCAATTTTCGTGAGAAGCCCTCCATTGTCTACACAACCTGAACAATAAGTTTTTACAACTGGGACGAGTCAGTGACATTTGAATAATCTAACGAAAAGGTTCAATGTCATTGTGATTTAAGAGCCAGAATGGTTCTTTAGCCTTCTTGCAAAGAAAAGTAACCAAAATCTAGAAATTTAGGATAAATATTTTTTTCAGAGGTTTTCCAGTATACGTTTTTTCATTCTGTAAGCGAGATGCCTTGAAATATTAGACGTTTTAAGGCTGGAACGAACTTTGGAATCGATTCGTCGAAAAAACGCATCGTTCGTTTGTTTAGCTAGTCATTGTAGACTTTTAGAATACTTCAGAAGTTAACCCCATCTGTATATGAATCATGGGGCCAGCGATACAACTGGACAATTCAATCATCAAATACTAATTTTGTTCAACAGGTCACTCGACCATTCTGTTTTTATTGTAATGTGTCAGATTGGAGTTTCCGGTACATTGAATAAAAGCTAGGTAATTTTTAACCTCATTGTAGGACTAGTTACAATAAGGAAGCTGAGCCCAGCTATATATCGAACAATGGACCAGAAATTCAATCATAGTATTCTGTTATCAAACACAGATTTTGTTGAATGGGTCACTGGACCATTCGTTTTAATTGTCATCGGTTACATTTTAATTTCTTATATCATAAATAAAAGCACATGTTACCCGGACATAAAGTTTTAGTTTTTGTCATTAATCTCGCTCTGTAGGGGTTTAGTCGAGATAATTTTAACGAAGCCGTGTATTTCGTCGGATCTTTACCAACTCAAATGCTAAGAAGAAAAAACAGGGCTGCAGTATTTTATTGTTCAAATGAAACCTATGTTACAAGTGAGAATGACTTTTGACATTGTAAACGACACTTGATACCAAATGGGATAAACCTCAACAAATTAGTGTCGTTTATGACACGTTTATGCGAATGCACATGCAATCCGACTTCACGCGATCAGCAACACAGGGCCAACCGGAATTAGTACTGTATCATTACATCCTTGAATCTGTAAAATTGTGGGACAAAAGTCTGACCTGACACAAAGTTGTGATGCTTCCATTCAAATCCGACCACGTCTCCTCTGTATATTTACATTTTCCATTCATCCAAACCGTGTTGTTTGAATCGTTTACGTGATATTTCAAAAGTTTGTCTCTGTTATACCGCAGGGGTTTCCATTATTGTAAAAGCGAAATTTCGGTGAACAAAACCCTTTGAAAATGTCATGCATCTTTATCTACCGACGCGACTGTATTGCCTTAGTCTCCTTCTTGACCAAAAGTTGCAAGTTTCGTCAGTTGAGACGTTTTTGCTTTGCATCACTGTAAAGAGCGTTATTTGCCAACTGAAATACTTTATCATCGTGTTTCTTGCAGCCTTCGTCACAATCACTTGGTATGTTAATGGAAATGTTCACCTGATGATGGCTTTCCTGTCGCTGCTCGTTAATTTTAACCTTTTGATAATTCACTCCAAAGGAAGGGATGCCGCTGTTTTGAAACCCTAGATTTAATCCAAAGCTTTCTGATTTGCTAGTTTGACTGCTTTTTTCTGTCTTCACATCTTGCGCTATTGTCACGACCAAATCTTTTTTCTGTGTACGGGTTTGTCCTGGATTGTAGATAACTTGCTTCCGTTTCAGGATCAAACATTGCAGGCACAAGCTCACAAGACGCCATTGGAACCCTTCCTTGGCTAAATATGCATAGAAGAAGAACAATTTTGAACCAGCAAAACTCAGAAAGCGAAACAGAAGCCATTGCTGTGAATTTGTTGTGGCAGTGAGATCTGAAAAGAGAAAGTAATTTACATAAGATCTGTTGCGTGACCTTGATAAACCGGAAACGGCTCCTCAGGGAAGCTTCCCAGAATGAGGAAAAACAAGAGAACACCGCCTTCATGTATGCTATGCATAGGGTAAAAACCCATTTCTTTGCGTTCAAACCCTTTGCAGATCAAGGCAAGAATGAGTCCCGGAGATGCCAGGGAAACCCTTCCTTGATTTATAGACACAGAATGTCCTCAAATGAGAATTAATGTACACTACTGATCAATGGTCTGGAATATTTCGTTACAGTTCTACGCTCAGCCTGACTCAGGTCAGCTGTTGGTATTGAGAAGCGATGGCCTGTGTAAGAACCCCTGACTTCAAGTTAGTTTCTCCAAATAGGCGTAAATTTCACGCGTCCCGAGACTTTAACTTCAGATCTAAATTTGTACTTTTCAGGTACATCGTAGCAGGTCTTAACATGAAAAAGTCACTCCCTTTCATCTTTCTCCTGTTATCTTCATTGTCATAATTTTCAACAATTCTCAATCAAGCTTGTGCAGAAGGCGCACAAAACGCCAGATGAGTAGAAAACCGTTGTAGAATCAAGTGATAATGGTTAACGTGAAGTTGTCATTACGGTTAACATCCCCTTCATCTGAAAATTTTCAAATAATTATAACATAACAACATAAAACTTAAGTGTCACTATAAAAGCTTTGAGCCTCTCTGTTTTTACAGCCAGCATAGCAGCATGTTGTTCCACCCTTTCAAAATCTTTCAACAGTTCTCTATTTCTTTCCTTGCTCCTCTTTTCATGAACACAGATTTTTTCCACTGAATTTCTAGTCTGTTTGCTTCCATTTTACTCCTTAATTATGAGAAAAGAAGAAATACAGAGCTGACCAAAGTATATGTGCAGTAAATCATGGAGAAACTCAACATTTAGCACAGAACTGATTCGACTGAGAGACCAGTTAGTCGGGCAGGAAAGTTAACAATTAACCACAACTCAAATCTCAGGACAAATTATTTGATTGCCGATCAATATTAAAGTGTAGGATAATTAGAGTAGGAAAATCTATTCAAAGCGGCCATATTAACTGGCAGTGTTTAAAAGCTTGATCTCAAACCGAATTGAACGAGTCGAAGTCCTGTTACAAATTAATCAAATAGCCATTGATTACACGTTTTCATTAAAAAACAGTTTACTCGACGAAATGTGATACAGCAGCGCGCACATGACGCGTTCCGTCCACTTTTAGAGGAATCTACAATCGAAAACAGCGAAAATCCACTTCAGAAGGAACAAAGGCAGATAGTAGACGAACAAAGGCTGACACCTCTTAAAGGATTTATTTCCCTCAAAGGTAACAATCAATTGTGCAAACTTACGCTTTACTGAGGTCCTTTCTTTCAGAGGTCTCTACATCCAGGGAAATTTTTGATGTGCAAGCTTTAAGAGCTTGCACATCAGAAAAGTTTCCTACTAGACTTTGGACAGCTCCATCCCTCAACATCCCCTTCCCCCTCCCAAACTTTTTGTTTCAGGTGTAGAGAGGATCGAACCCCGAAATATACGCGGTGTTTACCACTACATATCAAGTCTTATACTTCCAAAATTTATTTTATCAGCCACAAGAACTAAAGATGGAGAAGATATAATCGTTGTGAATTCCTCGAAGATTCCCAGTAAAAGAGATTTCACAGGGAGGAAGGAATACAATGAAATAATGGCCCGTCTGTTACTGTAAGTGTTTTAATTTATCAGTGTCCTTATTAATTCAATGGCGACTTATATAGTGGATTTCAGAAGCATTCCCAGCTGATGACTCAAGAGTTCGCAGATCTATTTTTGCGCACAAATGACAGCCAATGAGAGAAAGCACAGAGTTATGTACAGTTACATCATCCGATGCTTTGGTTCAGTTCATCAACTGAGTTGAAAAAGAGAATTGGCCACTGTAGAGAGTTTGTATGCCGACGTTTCGAGTGAGCCGTCTTTAAAGCGTATCGTTCTTGTAATACCCCCAACTGATGGTGCACCACAATCTTTTTAGACTTTTTTCCAACCCCCTCCCCCCTCCCCGGCTTAACTCAGCTACGTCATCGCTCTATTGACTGCATATCTTCTCTGGTATCGTCGTTCTTTGAGGTTTGGGGTAAAGGTACGATATACTGATTATCACATAAAGAAAGCCATAGCATTTGCTTTACTGTGAAGCCGCAAGCTCTCGGATTGTTGAGCGATTTGAACCTAACCGCTTAAGGTTATCCGAGCTGGATCGGTTTAACCGCTTGTCGCTCTGTATTTGGTTCAGAAAACTCGCGCTACTTTCTAAAACAATCAGATGCCAAATTAAGACCAATCCCGCGACTCGGTCACTCTATTTGACAGTGATTCAGGCAATTTGCTTGTTTTTCCTTTGAGTTCTTACTTGTGGCTTTTACTGTTTTCATTTATTATGATGGCCATTGTGGTTTCTTCGGTTCTGGTTTTGAAAACTTCATCAAATACTACTATTGAATTACAAAGAAATATCACTCTCAACTTTTTTAATCAGCTGCTAAACTTCTTTTATTACCAGCTTCTCCCGTGCTAAATCCTTTAAGCCTCCTTTTCAGGTTCGTTCAGGAATTCACTGAAGAGGAAGTGAAAAGCGAAAAGTTTGTACTCGCAGTTCATGCTGTTACACAGAGAAGAAGCAAACTGCGTTCCCGAAAATGGGCGACGGAATTTTACAAGCTATTGATTAATCGGTGAGATGTACGAGTAGGGAAAATGTGTTAGACAAATCACGGGTTATAACATGATTTATAATAGAGCTAATATATAATAGAGAATTGTAATGATTATAATGATTTATAATAGACTAATTAAACCGTGAGTTAATACAGAACCTATCGCTTTTTGGTCATGTTAGCTTCACTTGACTCTTTGTTTTAATGTCATTTCACTGTTAATCTCAGTGATTCCGTAAATATTTCCTTAACTTTGATTATCTGCGGATTGGAAAAGTCTTGACTGTCTCTTCAAACATGTAAAAAAGTCTACAAGTCGAGCTTCGTAGTCAGTGTTATCTTTGTGTTCAGCCTTGCTCCCTGTATTATTTTTTGCAGATATCAAGACAGACTCGTCCGCTGTGTTTTCTTCAAACCATCTTTTAAACTGAGGGCTTTGGTAATACTTTCACGGTCATTTTTCTCGTAAGTATTCTCTCTCGCAGAGATACTGACAGAAAAGAGTATCCACAACTTGATACACTCAATGTCCAAATCCAAATTTAATATACAAACTTAAACCTTCTAGTGACTATATGTATTTCAGCCGACTGACCGACTGACCCTAACGAAGAACGTCCGTCAGACGGGCTGACCACTGGTAGACAGGCTGAAGAACGTCTGACCCGCCGATGGACAGATCAACCGAAACACGTTGGCCGACAAACTGACTGACTTGGAGATCAACCGTAAAAACCTTGCTGAAAACTTTCTGGTTGTGTATTTGACTGACTGACCAACTTACACTTATGAGTAACAAAAAAAAATTATCTGTATCCCCTCGCATTAGAGAAAATCACAAGTGAAAAGATTTTGAAAGATAAGTGGTTTTACTGTTTACTTCACAGAAACGACATGAGGGAAAAAACTGTTATTGTGAAGAGCAGGCGAAAGTTTTCCAAAGCTCAAGGTAAGGATGCATGTAAATTTCACAGTACTGGCCTCGGCTGTGTACTGAAGGCCTTTTTTCTAAGCACCGGTATTTCTACTATTTGCAGTTTTGAACGCCGGTTATGTAACTAGTATGAATTAATCACGAGCAATTTTCATTTTTAGGTCTACCAGGGAGTGATTCAACCGAACAGAACTAATGAATAAGTCTAATTTTTCCCTTTACTCCAG